TTATAATTTTTACATTAATTACATATATTTTTTGCTTTTTATTAATTTTTTATTGCGACTAATTGTCCGGTTTGTTAATTAATCTTTATTTCTAATTAATTCAGTTACTTTTTTATTTATTGTTGGTTTGGTTTGTATTGCTATCCGGGGTTCAATTTCCCGCGGTGGACAGAGGAGTTAGCCCCAATGTGGTTTTACGCTAAAACAAACAATTGTTTTGTGCCATTTCAATGATCTTTCCCTGAAAAATTCAACTTCAAACAAAGTACTTTTTCTTCCCCATTATTGTTAAAATGTCAGTCTATTAATTCTAACTGACCAAGTGTTTAAAAGAGGATTATAGACTGTCTCAAACAGAGTAAAAAAACTTTTATAATTTTCGTATATCTGAAGCTTATTTTTTAATCGAACTAAAAGTACAAAGTACGAGTGTGATATCTTTCTTTAGGAACGTGTTACACGTGGCTTTGAACAGAGTTTCAAAAACAATTTGTCGACAGTTTATAACACTGTTGACTTAGAAGTTAGATAATCTAAGTTTTAGAAACTAGTTTTGTTTCACACGATAAGTATAAAAACAAAACTAGTTTCAAAAATAAAATAATTTTTTTAAAAGTGTTTAAAATGTAGGATTATATAACCACTAAACAAAGAAATTCAAAGTAAACTCAAGCAAGAATGAAACCTTATAATTACAAAATCACTAACATGAACATCGAGCCACAAAGTTTCAAGTAACAAAGTTTGTTTATATCAACTCTTCTAGTTGAGGTGATAAGGGTATCATCTTTACACAAGTCCGATTCAGATGTTCGATGGCCCATTGCGAAAACAATTTCCTTCATTATTTCAATAGATATTAAAATAAATGTAAAAATACATCTCTAACACAAATATATACTCACGCTCCTGAGATGGCTACGTTTTTGCGATGAAATAAAAGGCATAAAACATTTAAACCTCAATATTTAAATATTACACTTTCTGACACGTGACTTACATAACATATATCTTGTAATAACATTTGTAATTAGTACTATTAGTACATGCGCAAAAAACATCACTAAAGCTACACAACATGACTGGTGGAAATGAAGTTTGAAGATTGTTGTAAAAGTGGAAACTTAGAACACTATTTTTGTTTTATGACAAATAAGATGGCGACGTTTGAAGAAGCTATTCTTTAAGTAAAAATGGAGTGGCTAACCTATAAGGCAATAGCAAAGCAGTTGGAATCAGTGCAGTTACTTGGTGTTATGATACAGCATACTGTTCTAATTTTGCGCCTACTGATAATGTATAAAGCAGTTTTATGTTTTATACTGTTAACTAACAATATAGTAATGTCCACCTTTTTACAACCAGTCGGCATATTTCTAACTGTTTATCTTTTGCCTTACAGGTTATGCCTAACTCCATTTTTACTTTTGAGTAACTTTTTTTTCCGCACGTTGCCATCTCGCTTATCATAAAACGGAAGTGGCGTTCTGTGTTTCCAATTTACAACCAACTTCATTTTCATAAGTCATTTCGTGTACGTTTCGTGATGTTTCTTGTGCATTTCCGGTAGCGAAATACGGGTACAGGATGTTTTCAACTGCTTGTTATATGTCAGATTGTGTAATCTTTAACTTTGAAAAAACGTAGCCACCTCGGGCACATAAGTTTATATTTGTGTTAGAAATGTGTTTTCTTATATTCATTTTAATATTTCTTGAAATGTTGAAGGAAGTCGACTTTGCAATGGGCTGTCGCACAAAAGTGAATAGGGCATATGTAGGTTTGATACGTATATCAGCCCTATTACTAATAATAGATTTAGTTTTTGGCGTTATCATGTGACAGTTTTAGGAAAAACCGTAGAACTGACAGTAACGCTTTGGTCTTATTACTCCCTTGATATTCAGATTTATAATTAACGCTGGTAATTAGATACCAAACATAACTAAAACAAGTAACATTATAGCTTCTCCGTAATTTCAACAGACATTGTATTTTATTGTTAATAATGGGTAAAACCATGTTTGACTGCTTTTCTGAAAGTCATGACGTTTCCATCTCTCCAGACGCCACTAAGCGATAAACATATAACTTCCCAGCTAATTTGCATAATTAAGTTCTTTTGACGTTGTGTCATTGCTCTCACAGTACACTATTTCTGGCCCTTAAAACATGTTCTCAACAAGAAATAATGAAATTAAGTGGTGCACCACGAGCGAGTAGGCGAGATGGAATCTGTAGATGTTAACGTAGGATTAGGATCACTACTGATAATATAGCGTACAATACAATACATTTTTGTGTAAATCCTGTCTGAATTGTTGCATTAACTTTAAAAAACTGCAATGTTTCTACTTTTATGGACCGGGTATTTGGCCAATACTTACAGGACCAAATTAAGACCACACTAGGCCCCTGGACAACTTCAGTAATGTGTGACCCCCCCCCCCTTCTCCACAACCTTTTTTTTTTCATTTAAACGTTATTAGCCCATGACGCCAAGGGACTCACAGAAGTCGTGGTCATTTTGTTTTTGATAGTCATTTCAGAAAATTATTGTGAAACTAGTTTTCAAAAGCGTTATTTGGTAAAATGAGATTTTGATTGATTGATAGGGCAACTGCCTTTTATGCTTTCTGATTAAACCAGGTTTGAGAACTTAGCAAAGGCATTGGATGTAGCGCTACCTAGGAAAGCCAATTATGTTCACATAGTTACAATATTTAATTTAAATGTGTCTTAAAATTAAAACCCTACATTTCAAAAAATGGAAGCATTCAGCATTTCTTTAAAAATGACATTTTTTTTAAGTTTACGCAGCTGTTCTATTTCAACCAATAAGAATTTCAATTTTGTACTTTGTTTACGTATCATACACACACGGATCTTTATTTCTTAGTTTTATTCAGAAACTATTTACTTTAAAGTGCGTAATGTTTTAAGGTCTCAGTCTTGTTTCTTACTTATGGTTAGACTTTTGAAAGCTACTTAAATTTAATTAATGATTACATTTTACATTTAAATACTTTTTAAACTAGAACTATTAGGCTTAGTGTCACTACTTGGTGTACAATTTATACAAGCATATCAGTTTTTAAACTTTGAGGCTGCGTCAAAAGTGGTCGTTCACAAAATCGTTATACAGTTGTTTGTTTCACTGAGGTACATTTTACAGTGTATGACTTACTTGGTATAAAAACAAGTTATTCAGGTGTCACTGTCTTAGTTTACTACATTTATCTATAGCATTTGTTTCTTATTATTTATAGATTTGTTTGTTTTTGAATTTCGCGCAAAACTACACGAGGGCTATCTGCGCCAGCCGTCCCTAATTTAGCAGTGTAAGACTAG